GAACTTTCAACACGAACTGATTGACCACCTTTTTTGTAGGATTAAAGGAACATATTCTGCGTCTCCATATTCACACACACACACAGAGAAAGACGAAGAAGAAGAAAAAAAGAATATACACACACACATATATATATATACCCATGCCATCTGGCAATGAGGGAATCAAGTAATTGTTTGCTCCTGTTAGAACAATTATATTTACTCAGCCATACATGCATTTATCTTAGATACTTGTTAGATAGATCGATCTTACTGGGGATTCTTCAAGTATCTATATTGTACACACTCACTTTCATAGAGAGGCTATTCAAAGAAAGCGAAGAAAACGAGGATGAGTGGGATATTATCAAATTACTCATTTTGAAAGGGTTACGCATGCTCCAACTGTTATTTGTTGTGTCTGTTTGTTATTGTTTACTTTTAAGGTACCTCAATTCTGCCCCACAGGGTAAATTGGCATCCATTCTGTTTATTGGGGAGTTCGATGATAGACAGCATGATACAAAGTTGTATAGATACAAAATACTCTGTTTGATCTATGTATTAGATATCTTTTTAATGTTGCTACCGTTGATCATTGTAAGTATATTAGCAAATGAATCATTTTCAAGTGAAATTCTTAACAGAGACCAAGATGAAAGAACAGATCAAATTGACAAGATTTTGGAATCTTTTTTAGTAAATACAAAAGAGAAATACGGTATAATGACCTTGTTGGGAATGAATCTATTTGATGATGCATTACCATTAATTCGTGATAACAACAACGATAACGACACCAATTATCGAAGAACAAACAACTATGGCAGTATTGTAACTTAAATATGTATTAATAGCTGGAAGAAACTAATCAGTATTACAATACCATCTTTAAAGAACAGTATTATAGGATAGCTGTCGTATTAGTGTAATTTGAAATAGTTTAGGCCTGAATGATCAAAGTTCTAAGTGTTAATTCAATTTATATCTTCGAAATATTTTGAAAACCAGTCTTGCTAATTGGTATATGAGGGGTTTTAAAACAAACAAACAAACAAACATATAGAATAAAGATGTTGGGATTGGTAGACTAAAAGGTACATCCAAAATATTAAGATGATGATGCTTTTTATTGTACCAACTCATCTGCATGCATACTGATAAAATTAGTAAATTCACAGGAGGTTATCCGTTGGAATAGAGATCGAAATAATCCTGTTATATAATATTATTAAACCAAAACAGCCAAGGAAAATCAGTATAAGAATCTAGGCCATAGCATAGAATATATTATGGGCAGTCCTACATAAGAACAGAATAAATTTTTCAATAAGAGAATAAGAGTATAACAATCAAATTCAGTATATTCTTACGAAAAACTGTCTTGTTATTATCAAGAAATATTTCAGAGGAAAATAAAAACTTAGGAAAGACCACGTCGTACTTACTTATGAGAATAGTATATAAACAGATGTATTATTTGTATATGTGTTTACCTGAAAATAGTGGCAGGTGAAGAGTCATCATATATTCTCATTCTCTATATTCCAGAGAGAAATAACCATAAAAAGGAGAGTGAAGAACAACAACAACGAAAAACAGCGAAAGAACAAGGAACCAAGGGTTAAATAAGATTGGATATATAGGAATATATCTATATCCCTAATCTAAGATAACCTAATAGTATACACTTATATACTATATATCTAAACTTATGTAATCCTTCGTTCCTTATTCCTTATTCTCGTTCGTTCTTGTTCGTTGCTGTTTCTCTTGGTTGCTCTCTTGTGCTTATGTTGGTTACTCCTGTTTTTATGTATGTTTGTAAAATTTGCAAAAGGAAGGTTTAGAAAAATAACGTCAACTCTCATTTTTCTAAACAAACCCTAAACAGTAATATCAGGGATATTTCACTAAGGATTATCACAATTGCACTCTGAAAAAAACAAAAGAGGGGCGAGCTGGGAATTGAACCCAGGGCCTCTCGCATACTCGAGATCTCAGAGAACCCAAAGCGAGAATCATACCACTAGACCACACGCCCTCAGCGATTGACGTCTCTGTTGTGAGAATAGAATAATTATAACCATCAAGATTATATAAGATCCTGAATGAATTTAGAACTATTTATTGTCTTAATAAGCCATACACGTGCTACAACATTAGATGCTGCATAATAAAGAGATTAGATTACATAAGATTTTGGCAAATCTAGAATTTACCTATTGTTTTAATAAGTCCCACGTGTATTACTAATCACCATGATTAGAGAATTGGGGTGCAGTTCTAATCCACTAGTGCACCTAAATTAATGTAATAAATTTTAGGGTGAATCAGTCAAGTCATTAATGTACTAATCTGAATAATCGATCGAGCTCCAGAAAACATATAAAAGGACAACGTTTTCTGGAGATAAAAGACCATCTTCCATAACCGTTTCTTGTGAATAATATATATATTATATATAAACATAAATAGAACAACAAGCAAGTAACAAGAAGTAACTTCGAATAAATATATTAGCTCGATATAAGCTGCTCAATATATAAGACCGTTTTAGTAATTATATTATCGCCTATAATTGATTACTGTCTCGATTACTTGAATGACTATTAATATTATTTGCGCTTCCCTAGAATACACAAAGAATTTCACCACCTCATAATACAACAGTCTCTTCTGAAAGTAGAAACATCCACAAATAAAAAGTGTACCTCATATCGCAAACTTCATCTTATTTGTACAACTTTAGTAGCGTATACCCTGAAATATTGCCCTTATCGTCTTTTATGGAAACACAAAAGTGCTGTCATCATAATTGTTGGAATTTGGAGCCCTTAGCATCCATAGTAATGGTAGACATCATTAAGTTATAGATGCTTGTTTAGTTTTGTATTAAATACATGTATATACTTATTATATAGCGTATACATTATACATTCTTTTATTTTCTTCAAGTTTTCTTTTAAGTTTTTCATTCCTTTTCAAATCTCTGAAAAATACTGTTGATGAAAAATAAAATGTCTTCCTGATATTATGGTACATCCGTACACCACATAACATACAGAAAAACTAATTAAAAATAATTCTTATGGAAATCACAGTAATAAACTCACATTTACCAACAATTTTAATATTTCTTTTAAAGTTTACCAATTTATTCAACTCTCTCGAAATACGTTTTTGAAATAAAATCAATCCTAACTTCAACTTAAGACCATCCTAATGAACAATGCTACTTCAATGTAAGATGCAACTTAAATTCTGGAGATACACTGTTCAAGTAACAACTGATATCAAAATTTGTTCTTTTAACAGGACTGTTAATGAAGCACCTTTATGAATTATTTCAAAGAATAAACCAATTATTCAACCAAGATCATTTTTACCATTTGATGTACCAGTATTATTGTGTGAACTGGGCAAAAATAAACTGAAAACCGCAACAATATAAGAATTTCTTGTTTGTAGGAATAATAATAATTTTGGTCATTGATTTTACATATCCAAAAAAGAGAAGATTATATCTATAATGGATCATTGTATACCATAACTTTTTACAATTAATTAGTCATCTCCATGAAGGAATCATGAAACTATAAATAGTCTATACAATGAAGAATTGGGAAAAAAATAGATGAAAATAAAGATATAAAATTCACAGCAGTGAAATCATCAATAAATTGGGTATAGTTGATAGAAGGTTAGGGAGCAAATATGAACCAGAACAAATTGATATTTTTTTCATCTAAATGACATTCAAAAAAAGTTAATAGAAAAATATCTATCACACTTTGCAGATATGGAAAAAATTGAGGAACTAGAAGAATTGTGTAAAATGATATTCAAAAAAATATTATTAAAGGAATAACAAGGTTTAAAATTTATCTCTCCTAACCAAAAGAAAGTTACAAAAATAAAAGTTATATCATCTACCTTAAGTAAACAAGTACAAATAATAAACACTTGGCAATGAACATGAAATAAATGAAGTTTTATCAGAACAATTTAAAGAATTTAAAATAGATGGATGTTTTGCTCCTATTATAAAAGTATGTAAAAGTAATATTCAAAAAGGAAAAGAAGATTATCCATAATACAACCATGTTAATAACAAACACAACGATAGTTATAATACCCATATAGTTGATAAAGGGAGGTTAGAGAATAAGATAAAAATATATTGGGCCTTGAGTAGAAAATTTAAAAGAAAATGCACACGATAAGTCAATTAATATATTTAACATAAAGAAAAAAAATAACTCAAAAGATCGTTTAGTTAGGGAGACTTTTTGTATTAAATTTTTCAAATTCATTAATATTTTGAAGATGATGTAAAGTCAGATATTTACTTACGATGGCTGACCAAGGAGAGTGGGATGATATTAAGTAAATAAATTGACAATATGCTCATCAAACTTCTTTAGTAAAGACTGTTCTTAATATTCCGCTGATAATTATAATAAAGGCATTTTTAAGAAGAACGATGTTTTAGAAAGAGTTCTGATTTACTAATTACTTAGATCATGAGAATATTAAATACAACACTACTGCTTTCTAAGAAAAATGATTTTTGTCCTTACGGAAAACTAATCCTTGCATGGTTGGTGTTTTTAGTTTGCTCTTGATTGGTTCCCATAATAAGGCAGGAGCACCAAACGGTAAAAATGATCTAAGTTGTATAGCTGGTTTGATATTTGAAATTAATCGCAATGGAGCCTCATGAATTGTCCTGTTAAAAAACAGTTTCTGATATTTGCTGCATTCTAGATTGAAGTAACATCGTTCTTGCATCAGTGATGATTGTACGAATGTTTCTTTTCGTTCTTGCATAACTAGAATGGTTTTTAGTTGGAGTTAATATTAATTGAATACTTAGTTCTTTCATGACTTCCTTTAACTCTACATTTGTAAATTCAGTGCCTTTGTCACTGATAATTTATTTTACTTTTCTCTCAAATTGAGTCTCCACAAACTAGATATTATGTAGTATTTGAGATTTAATTTCTTCAGCATCCTTATGACAATGAGTAGAAACTATTATCTACCATTAGTAACATATATCTACCTTGATTTAGTGGTAGACCATTTGTCGGACCAAATATGTCAACTGACCATGATTCGCCTGGTAATTTATTTTTATTATAATAATTCATAGTGTTTTTATTAGTGGAAATGGCGAGTCATTTTTCCTAATACACACGCAACACATCAATCTTCTTCGTTATTCATCCCTTTTATTCCACTTATATTCTCAATGATATTTTTCGTTGACACCCTCTGTAATGATTTGATTAGGTATATGATTCAATCTAATATGTGCTTCTTCTCAGTTCATAATTGATTTGTGTACTACAGGATTTGTTGGTCAAATATGATAAACTTTACCTTTTAGAATATCAATAATTCCTTCTGCGTTTACGCAAGCAGAATCATTTTTTATTAATGCATTCACTCTTTTATCTTCAGGGGTTTCCAAGATATTATATCATTTTGATAAGAGTATTTTTGTTTCTTCATACAATTTAGATACTGGTAGGATGGTGGAATTTACATTTGCAATATTCACACTGATAAATCTTGTTATGATAGAACCCCTTTTTGTGCTTGTAATATGCAATAGTATTGGCAATATACATCAGAAATATTTTGGGTTAGATGTCTGGACTCAATGGTAGAAAATTTTAAGTTATATAGTTAGAAATTTTATTTTCGAGATGTATATTAATAGTCCACTTAATTTTTGACGCCAAAAATCTATCATTGATAGGATTAGAATCCCTTAGATCATAACTCCATTTTTCTATTTGGATTAGATCGTTTATTTTTTGTTCATAGTTATCTGTGTTAAAACAGTATTCATCTACTAAAATCTCCTTCCACATCTTATCTTTTACATCTCTTGGATAACGAGACATAAATCTTTTCTTTGTAAAATTATAATTTTCAGAAGTAGAACCTTCGAGATTTCTGTAGTTGTTAAACGTTCCATCAATGGAGTTTTTTATTGTGTTTCTTAAAATTGTGTCTTCAACTTTATCTATTTTTTTATTAATTTCTAAGATGTTATCAAAATTCCATTTATGTAAGAAGTCTTCAATGTAGCTACTCTATATTGGGAAATCATCTAAAGCTTTTAATGTATATTCAATTTTAGCTAGCTCAGACCCCCAATAGAATTGAATTTTTTCGCCACGACAATTGTAGCACGTATAGTATTTGCCATTATCCTCTTTGCTGGATAGTAGAACTATATTTTGAATATGTTTTTCATCAGCAGTTTTGTTGCTATTATCGTTATTTAGAATATCCTTTTTGTTATTATTAGTACCGTTTTCCTTTATGAGGTGATCACACTGTTATAAGATTTTTCTTTATTATTGTTAATTTTAATTTTGAAAAACTCGTTAAGATTTTCATTTGCTTTGTTTAATCTTTTAGAGAATAAGGTTTTTGACTTTTCAATTTCATCCATTTTATTATTAATTTCTGAACCTGTTAAAGTATTGTTTTCTGCTAGTTTATTTACTTAATCTGTCAAAGCAGCCAGTTTATTCGTGAAAAGATCAACTTGCTTCTTAAGATTAATTATTAGATCACCCTTTTTTACGGTAATACTATTACCTTGGAAAGTAGTAGTATTTGTGTTTAACATTGTTATGACTTTAGTAATTAGTGATTTGATATCTTCGGTTGATTAAAAATATATACAAGCAATATATATAATAAACAATCTATAATAGATGAATGTTTTTGATCTTAAAAGAAAATCAGGAAGAGGTAGTATTCAAAGAGAAAAAGTCATTCCCATTAATTCCATCTTTACATGCAAATATAAGGATGTTTTTTAAAGCACGTACAATTTATAGAGGGTTTATAAAACGAAACTAGTTATAACGAAATTGAACCATTAATTCTTGACATGCAAGGATTAACACTTCTTTTGATTGTAATGGACAATAAGAAAACGTTTTTAAGAATATTTGATATAAATCATGCTTTCCTATATGCTGATTTGAATGAGGAATTTTATGTTCTACTTCTATAGAATAATAAGGTTATTATATCATTGAAGAAATGTTTGTATAAGCTTAAACAAAGTCCATATAACTGAAACAATACATTGAAGCAATTTATGAATGATATTGGCCTTCATGACTCTATTTATTCTCCAGGGTTATATATATCTGAGGACGAATCCTTTATGATAGCTGCTTATGTTGATGATTGTATAAGTGCAGCTAAAAATGAAGATAAATTAGGGAAATATATGAATTTGTGAATGAATAAATTTACTTTAAAGAAATTGGGTTTTATGTTAAACAGTAAACTAGAAACGGGCATCTTAGGTTTAGATCTAAATTATAATAGAGACAAAGGAATAATACAGTTGAATATTACGAACTATATTGAAAAAATTTTGAAGAATATAAAGAACTTATATCCAAAAAGAAAAAAATTAATAGCGTATCTAACCTTTACAAGTATGCTATAAATCCTGAAACAGATAAATTGATCATGGAGAAATCTACATTAAAAGAAAAAATAAAATGGCTTCAAGTATTGGTTGGAAAACTTAATTATATTAGAACAAGAGGAAGATTAGATATAAACTTTGCTTTAGGCAAACTTTCACATCTAGTATTGTTTTTTTATCCTAAAGTAATAAAAGTAGTAAAAAAAAATATTGAACTATATTTATGATACCAGAGATATAAAAAGAGACGAGGAGAATAAATTAGATATTACAATGATTACAGATGCATCATTGGGATCTGAGTTTGACGTGGTGTTATTGTATGAATTGGTAAAAATTTTTATGATGGTTTTTCCAAAAAATCCACAATAGTTTGTAAGTCACCAGCAGAAGCTGAACTGGATGCTCCAACCATGGGGGAAGATCAAGCTGTTTTATTAAAATGCAAAATAAAAGGAATATTTAAAAATATAAATCCAAACATTAATATAATAACAGGTTCTAAACCAGCCATTGATTGACTTAAACAAGATTATTTTAAAACACGAACAAATTTTATTAGAGTTAAGGTATCCAATGTAAAAAGAGAGCAAGTCTCTATAATTTAATGATATCTATTATTATTTTTTAATTATTCAATTCTTAATCTTAAAAATTTGCTTCTTGCTTTGAAATGGTCATGCTTTAACCAGTTTAGAATTGTTAATTGAACATATTTTTATTTTTTTCGTTATTCACTATTTTTTCTAAGTTTAATTTGAGAAATAATACAATCAATTCGATTGATTTATGGCACCTAATTCAGATTTGACTGAAAATATATATAAGATTGAAATTTTTCGAAAAAAGCTGCTCTTTAATCCCATAAAAATACCACATCTTGACTTAAGGTTGTATTCTAATGCTAATAACATATCTGAAATCACCATAATGTTAAATATATTTACATTTTCTTCTCTTATTAAAATACTCCTCACACATCTTGTTATGTAAGCATGTTTCAAAATCTTTTTAGTTATCTAGATTATTTATTTATGTGGATATAAAACTAATCGTTCTCTTCTACTCATAGTAAAGTTGAGATCAATTCTTCCTCTAGACCTAATATAATTCACTTTTCTAATTAGATACTTTTTATTGTTCTACTTTTGTTTCATAGTAGTTTTTTCCATAATCAAATCATTTTTTCTGTTTTTTTTGTAACCATCAGTATTGAGGATTAACTCGTCTTTCAAATTGTCAATTAATAATATTGGATATTCATATTTTAATTTCTCAATAGAACTACTCATACTCAATATTAATTCACCTTTTCTATCATCATAACTTAAGTCTATGCCTAGAATATTTGTATTTAGCAAGTTATTTTTTATTTTACCTATTATTTTGGGTGAGGATCACTTTTCTAATTTATTTATAAAATTATCTAATTCTTGATTCATTTTAACAGCAATTATACAATTATCAATATATGGTGTTACCATTATATTACAATCTTTTTAAACGAAAATATAGGTGAGTAATATCATCAAATATACTTATTCTATTCATGGATACCTTTAGGGTTTCATTTCATTTTTTAGGGCTCTATCTTAGTTCATATAACACTTTGTTTAATGGAATAGCATTTGCTACATTTTTTCTGTGTTGAACATAAAATTCTTCATTCAAGGTTGTGTATAAAAATACATCAATAATATCTAATCCTGTTAATCTCATCCTCTTCTTATCAGGTATAATTAAAAAAATGCACAATGCATTAAGATTTAAATAGATGTTTTAATGTCATTATAACTGTAGTTTGACTACTTCTACAAACAGTTTTGGCTTTGCATATGCTATTTCGTTTAAATGGAGAAATCAAATTTATCCTCATAATATTATCTAGTGGGACTTTTATGAAGTTTGTCTTATTATTTTTTTGAAAATTACACGTGTTTTTCGCAATTATTTTTATTATTATTTTATAACTGTTTTCTGCTTCATGAATTACAATATTGATATTATCATATTTTTCTTGTTTTATGGATATAGTATCTTCCTATAGAGAAATCAGATTCCCTTTTAATATTTTTTAATTTTAGTTCTACATTGACTTGTTCTCCTCCAACATCAATCTCTTCGAACTATTTATTTAAGTTAACATTCTCTATGATTCTAAGTTTGATAATTGCTGTTATATTATCACTTTTTTCTTGAGTATCATATAGTCAATATTCTTTAATCTTTTTATTATCTTCATTTCCAACATTACTAATGATATTACAATTACATTCAAATTATAATCAATATCATGGACATCCTTGATCTTGATTTTGACTACATCTGAAGTATTAGTAATATTTCTTTTACAAGTAGTTTGACAGAGTTTTCGTCGTTACCATTACCACAATATTTAACTATCTCTAGTGGTATAGTTTGCAACCCTTAGTATGCATGGTAGTGATGGTTATTAATGGTTTATAAAAGCTTGCGTCTAATTATATTTCAAATATATACGTACTCATTATACATCATCCCTAATGTCAATTGCAGAAGTTCTGGGCATGCTTTTTGAAAATTTTTCATTTTGGTGGGGAAAAAAATCAAATCTTTTTTGCATAACATGGTCATCCGTACACCACATAGTAGGAGAAAAACTAGGTTAAAAATAATTTTTGTGGCAAAGACAGTAAAAGAACTCTGCTATTCCAGCATTTTCCAGCAATGAGTTTTGGTTTTATTATGATGACAGCACTTTTGTGTTTCCATAAAAGACGATAAGGGCAATATTTCAGGGTATACGCTACTAAAGTTGTACAAATAAGATGAAGTTTGCGATATGAGGTACACTTTTTATTTGTGGATGTTTCTACTTTCAGAAGAGACTGTTGTATTATGAGGTGGTGAAATTCTTTGTGTATTCTAGGGAAGCGCAAATAATATTAATAGTCATTCAAGTAATCGAGACAGTAATCAATTATAGGCGATAATATAATTACTAAAACGGTCTTATATATTGAGCAGCTTATATCGAGCTAATATATTTATTCGAAGTTACTTCTTGTTACTTGCTTGTTGTTCTATTTATGTTTATATATAATATATATATTATTCACAAGAAACGGTTATGGAAGATGGTCTTTTATCTCCAGAAAACGTTGTCCTTTTATATGTTTTCTGGAGCTCGATCGATTATTCAGATTAGTACATTAATGACTTGACTGATTCACCCTAAAATTTATTACATTAATTTAGGTGCACTAGTGGATTAGAACTGCACCCCAATTCTCTAATCATGGTGATTAGTAATACACGTGGGACTTATTAAAACAATAGGTAAATTCTAGATTTGCCAAAATCTTATGTAATCTAATCTCTTTATTATGCAGCATCTAATGTTGTAGCACGTGTATGGCTTATTAAGACAATAAATAGTTCTAAATTCATTCAGGATCTTATATAATCTTGATGGTTATAATTATTCTATTCTCACAACAGAGACGTCAATCGCTGAGGGCGTGTGGTCTAGTGGTATGATTCTCGCTTTGGGTTCTCTGAGATCTCGAGTATGCGAGAGGCCCTGGGTTCAATTCCCAGCTCGCCCCTCTTTTGTTTTTTTCAGAGTGCAATTGTGATAATCCTTAGTGAAATATCCCTGATATTACTGTTTAGGGTTTGTTTAGAAAAATGAGAGTTGACGTTATTTTTCTAAACCTTCCTTTTTGCAAATTTTACAAACATACATAAAAACAGGAGTAACCAACATAAGCACAAGAGAGCAACCAAGAGAAACAGCAACGAACAAGAACGAACGAGAATAAGGAATAAGGAACGAAGGATTACATAAGTTTAGATATATAGTATATAAGTGTATACTATTAGGTTATCTTAGATTAGGGATATAGATATATTCCTATATATCCAATCTTATTTAACCCTTGGTTCCTTGTTCTTTCGCTGTTTTTCGTTGTTGTTGTTCTTCACTCTCCTTTTTATGGTTATTTCTCTCTGGAATATAGAGAATGAGAATATATGATGACTCTTCACCTGCCACTATTTTCAGGTAAACACATATACAAATAATACATCTGTTTATATACTATTCTCATAAGTAAGTACGACGTGGTCTTTCCTAAGTTTTTATTTTCCTCTGAAATATTTCTTGATAATAACAAGACAGTTTTTCGTAAGAATATACTGAATTTGATTGTTATACTCTTATTCTCTTATTGAAAAATTTATTCTGTTCTTATGTAGGACTGCCCATAATATATTCTATGCTATGGCCTAGATTCTTATACTGATTTTCCTTGGCTGTTTTGGTTTAATAATATTATATAACAGGATTATTTCGATCTCTATTCCAACGGATAACCTCCTGTGAATTTACTAATTTTATCAGTATGCATGCAGATGAGTTGGTACAATAAAAAGCATCATCATCTTAATATTTTGGATGTACCTTTTAGTCTACCAATCCCAACATCTTTATTCTATATGTTTGTTTGTTTGTTTGTTTTAAAACCCCTCATATACCAATTAGCAAGACTGGTTTTCAAAATATTTCGAAGATATAAATTGAATTAACACTTAGAACTTTGATCATTCAGGCCTAAACTATTTCAAATTACACTAATACGACAGCTATCCTATAATACTGTTCTTTAAAGATGGTATTGTAATACTGATTAGTTTCTTCCAGCTATTAATACATATTTAAGTTACAATACTGCCATAGTTGTTTGTTCTTCGATAATTGGTGTCGTTATCGTTGTTGTTATCACGAATTAATGGTAATGCATCATCAAATAGATTCATTCCCAACAAGGTCATTATACCGTATTTCTCTTTTGTATTTACTAAAAAAGATTCCAAAATCTTGTCAATTTGATCTGTTCTTTCATCTTGGTCTCTGTTAAGAATTTCACTTGAAAATGATTCATTTGCTAATATACTTACAATGATCAACGGTAGCAACATTAAAAAGATATCTAATACATAGATCAAACAGAGTATTTTGTATCTATACAACTTTGTATCATGCTGTCTATCATCGAACTCCCCAATAAACAGAATGGATGCCAATTTACCCTGTGGGGCAGAATTGAGGTACCTTAAAAGTAAACAATAACAAACAGACACAACAAATAACAGTTGGAGCATGCGTAACCCTTTCAAAATGAGTAATTTGATAATATCCCACTCATCCTCGTTTTCTTCGCTTTCTTTGAATAGCCTCTCTATGAAAGTGAGTGTGTACAATATAGATACTTGAAGAATCCCCAGTAAGATCGATCTATCTAACAAGTATCTAAGATAAATGCATGTATGGCTGAGTAAATATAATTGTTCTAACAGGAGCAAACAATTACTTGATTCCCTCATTGCCAGATGGCATGGGTATATATATATATGTGTGTGTGTATATTCTTTTTTTCTTCTTCTTCGTCTTTCTCTGTGTGTGTGTGTGAATATGGAGACGCAGAATATGTTCCTTTAATCCTACAAAAAAGGTGGTCAATCAGTTCGTGTTGAAAGTTCAAAGCAGCTTGAACCAGTATATATCTCTGTATCTCTCTGTATATGTATGTGTTCTTTATATGTATTGGGGTTGTTCTATTACAAAATTCTTGCGTGTTTGGAGAAAACGTTTCTGTTTCGTTAACCTAAGCTTAGTAATTTTGATTAGTCAAGAAGACACACATGACGTCATTGGTGTGTAAGTATCTGAGTGCTTTTTTTTTTTTAAGAGACAAGATAAAGGAAAAGATAATTTAGATATAAAGAAGCATGCTAGAGAAGATGAGTTGGACACAATAATCTACCAAACACCTCTCTCTCTCTGGTTTGTGAGATAGTTGGCATTCAATATGGCTATAAATATACAAAAAGTTGGAGTTTAAAGACTTGAAAATCTGTGTGGAACGCAGAAAGACAGAAAGAAATATGGCTGGCAACCCAGACAAAAATAAAAATAAATTTCCTGCGATTAAACCAAAGATAGGCTCGAGTAATGAGGAGATAGTCATGTCAAAGATACATATCTTAAAGAATTGGAAGTTACCTCCTTCGCCTAGTTATGGTGTATCGGGAAGAAAGCACAAAAGCCCCAGGAATGAAAACACTTCTGTGTCAAAGAATGAAAAGCTTTTGTTGAAGAAAAAAAGGCAGAATAGAGATGCTCAGAAGGCCTATAGAGAAAGAAAAGAAAAAAGATTGAAAGAGATGGAGTCTATTATTGACACATTACAAGATCAAGTGAAGTATTGGAAAAAACTATATCATTCGAAGTGCAGTGAAATGAGTGATTTGGAAAAGCAATATGATCAAATGAGGAAAGAACGACAAAATACAACGCAATTGAACCAATCAGCTCTCTATGGTATTATTAGTAATTTCAAGCCTTTGAAACCTGTCCCATTATTACCAACAACTAATAAAATTTTTAAAGGAGCATCATCACCACGGTTGTCATCTACTTCAAATACAGCAGGTAAGGAGTTGTTTCTATCACAAACTTCACACAAATTATCCAAGACATCAAATATTCAAATTGATACGGTGTATAACCAACAGTCAGACCATATAAGAGGAATTCATGAACAAACTAAAGATAACGATACTAATAGTGGTATTACTTCCACCAACTGTGGGTTTTGTGATGGTTCTTCATCATGCATATGCGATGAATTAACTGGTAACACCACACAGAAGCATCCAAAGACAATAATATCAACGAAAGATACGACTTCTATGTTGGCTTTATCACAGATTTCAGATCCAATGGCTATTGCTCAGTTAGCATGTTCTTCTGATCCACACAATTGTACAAAATGCCCAGATATAAATGAAACTTGTATAAAATCAGCAGTTGCGTATAGCACTAATAATGGCGATGCTAATGCAATTTCTAGCGAGATTGATTTTACTGACTATAAATAGTATATATTCATATAAGGAGTGATTAAATAAGACATTTATAGACACGAAACAGAGATAAGAAAAAAAAAGAGTTTGATTAAAATTTTGATTCTTTAAATTTATACACATATCCATTTCATAATATAATATTCCACACCTTCTGTATCCATTGGAACAACAACGGGGTTGAGATGATGTTACCTGCACCCTTGGATTTGCTGGAGCTTGCGTGTGATGACGACGAAACTTGTTTAGATACTAAACTTTTAGAAGTTGTTTGGGAGGTAGTATTGCCGGTAGGTGTGGAGGAAGTAACTTGACTACTACTGCTGCTGCTACTGCTGCTGCTGCTACTAGTAGTGGTGTTTGAAGTAGAGGCAACAGATGAAAGACTAGATACAGAGTCATCATCTTCAACATCATCACACATATTTTGGGTTGAGATAAGTGTACCTAGTGGTTCACCAGCACCATCAGTGAAATAGGCAGATGCAGCAGCTGGCATCTCAGGTAAAGTATTATTAGCTTCCCACACACCTTTAGAATACGTTGGGCATTCAGAGATACTGTAACTTGTAGAATATCCACCATCGCCCTCAGGGTTAGAAACAGAAGAATATTCCTTTTTCAAGTTGTAATAATCAGTAAGCTTCGTGACAGAAGCACCATCATCACTGATTTGGACTAACCCATAGTTATTAGTTTCATTAGAATACTCGTAGACCAACCCACCACTGAATACTTTAGCCATGGAATCAGAATAAATAGCCTGAATCTCGGTGAAAGGTCTACTGCCAACGACTTTATTACAACCGAACTCACTTAAAAAGATTGGAATAGAATAACCTGAGTATAGTTTAACCTTTTCAGCATAACCAGATACAGTATAAGAAGAATCACCACACCAAGAGTAGTCGTTGACACCAAACATATCGATTCGGGCGTCTGCATCGTCTCCACAATTCAAATATTCTGCAACTAGAAGTCTGTTTGACACAATGTCAGCAGCAGAGTAACCAACAGGGATTTGTCTGTAACCTCTAGCCTTTAAATATTTTTTCATATCTCTTACCACAGCCTTCACATAAGTGGCAGTATTTGTGGTGTTCTCACTGTTAATAACTTCATTACCAGCGAAAAACCCAAGGACGTTATCGTAGCCAGCAAAGGCATCGATAGTAGCAAAAACACTTTGTAAATAATCGGCATTATAAGAACATGCAGGGTCGTATCTAGAGATGGAGGCACCTGGAGTGTTAATATCCAAGATTAAATAGATTCCAGCATCACTCAACATTTGCATGCATTTGGTGTGATCCAAAGAGTTGTCCACAGTATATACTCTGATTGTATTAATTCCTAGATCCTGAAACACAGGAATATCTCTTTTACAGGTATCGATATCGGCTAGTGGATCAGTTAAATTAGAAGAGCCACCGGGTTGATAATCAACACCCCTGATGTAGAATCTTTCGTTAGTTTTGGAGTTGAAAAAGGCATTACCTGAGACTTTGATTGCTGATGTAAAACTGCTGGAAGTGGAATTTCCAGAAGCACCATTTGCAAAAATCATACCAGAGTTTAAAACTGATAGTGCACTCAACACTAGTCCCTTCCAAAGCATAATAGTTTGATGTGCTGTTGTATAGATGTTTTGTCCTGAGATGTATAGGGCAGGAGAAGAGAAAAGACAAGAAGAAAAATCAGATGCAAGATATATGGTAATACAACTTCTCAAACATATGCATGTCTGTATTTATGTACACAGTTACAGAACAACTTTCCTTCAAGCGATGAATTCGTTTGTTTGTTTCTTTGTTTATGCTAACATGCTATTGTTTACAGCGATTGCATAATTCGAGAAGTTAAAAAAAATGCGGAAGAAAAACTTGACTTTTTTGCGTTCCTTTGTCTCTTGTTTTTTTCTTTTTTTTTTTTTTTTTTGGTTGTTGTTGCTTGTTTCATTTTATTTTACTTGAAATTGCAGTGTAATAGAAAATATTAGAGAGGTGGAGGCAACTTCGAGCTGTTTAGAGACAAAAACAGGGCATTTCACTGGTGGTCTTAAAGGCCAGGAATAGGCTCATACGGGTAGACAACACGTAGATGATATGATTTGGATATTTTCTTGGATCACAGGTAAGTGGGAATATATATCTTTGTAGATATTTATAAGTGTGTGCAGGTGTGTTTGTGAGGATAAAAGTCGTATCACAAGTAATATACTCCAAATTTTATTATTGTTGTTTCTAGCAATTTCATAACTCATGATATATAACTGTTATAAAGTGATGCACACTAGAGTATAAATATTATATATATATATATTCTAATACAATAGATATAACATTGAATGGTAGCTTGCATAAAGTTTACACATGTCTTCATATATAATACACTATCATCATTAAATTTTATATATCTTGGGAGCGCCAAACAGATAGTTTGTAAAAAAAAACTAACGACCAATATATTTCTTTTCAAGTGGCCTAACTAAATTATAGACAATAAAGGCCCAAGAGGCACCCATTTCCAGACCTACATCACCACCGTCTTTCCCAATCAATATACCGATTTCTCCAATCCAATATGTCTGGCACATACCTAATGCAACACCAAATGCACTGATAAATAATGCAAGTGCACTTGCTATCCCAAGAGGTAGTTTTGAAGCATTATTCCAATCTTCAGCAACGTAACTATCATAATTACCACGCCTGTGTATACAATGCTCACTGAAAATCAAAGTAATATAAATTGCACAATAATAGGAAATTGTGTCCATGAAGTTTTCCAAAAAAGTATCAAAGAAATAGCATGCTGGAATACCTAATCCCAGTAACGCTAAGTTACCAGCAATAGACCAGATGGCTCTGGGAAACCTCTCAAGGGGTCCCCATAATGCTTGAGCGGACAATGCAATCGTGTACATACTTGGTAAGTTATTTGCTACTGTAGACATGGCAAATACAACACAACAAAATTGTCCAAACCCATGCAAAGACTTGGGCACTAAAACTGCATAAACCAGTCCCCCTATAGCATTTTCGTGATACAGTTTCATCCATTCAGGGTCAGCAACGGCACCCATCCCACATGCAGCGCCTAAGAACATCGAGAAACATAGAGCAGTAGTTAAACTTATAAACACATTGAAAAATATTTTGGCTTTGCTGGTACTACGTGGCAAATAGACAGTATAGTCTGCCGCATACGTGGTCCAGGCACCTGCATAACCAAATGCTGCACAACCAAACGATAGGACATGCCCAGCTGTGGTTGGACCATGAGGCCACTCACCGTTACTCCATTTCCCGGATATTTTCAACCTGGCAATCAAAACAAAAAAGATGGCAAGATTAGGTATCCATGACCATTTTTCATACTGGTGGATCACATTATACCCAAAGAAGGAAATAAGAACTGTACCTGCAGCGATAATCAGACAGCCTGCCCATAGTGGACAGTTATGTCCATTTCTATTGACCATGTTAAGCAATTCGGCAGAACATATGGTATTTAAAACACACCAACCTACACAGGAAATAATGTTGATTAAAGAAAAAAATCTGGCAGTATAGTTACCTGTCAGATAACGGGTTAAAATCATTTGTCTTAAGCCAGTTCTAGCACCGAACATCGAAAAAAAGGCCACTGGAATGACACCCAGTATATTGAAAAAAAGGATAGTCAAACAAGAAGCACCAAAATTCAAACCATAGACACAGGGTCCTAATGCACCAACAGCAAACGCTGAAAGAACCAGATTTGACGAAAACCATGTGTTAGCTGCACTAAAAATGTTGGTGTCTGTTTTCTCTTCATCTGTGATTGGTTCGACCCCTTTGACTTCAGCTTTCATCTTGGCCACCCAGTGGAATAAATTTTGCTCCTTAGAAGTTAAAGATTCTACATCATAGGACGCCGTTTCTTTTTCTTCTGTTTGAGAAATGTTGCTGAGTGAGCCTACTGAAGAAGTACTGGACGGATCGCCAGTTGTCGGTATTTCTTGTCCCTTATAGAGAATTGAGGATAATTTACTTTTTATCATTTAGTAACTGTTTAAAAGGGTATTAGATTTGTTAATTTGTGTTTGATTACGGATTCGTTACGGTAATGTATGAAAATACGGTTGTGTCACTTCTAGAGAGAACGCTAGACGGGCAGTATCCAATGCAAGAAGTAAGTAGTTTTTTGAACAGTGGAGTTACGTTAAAAACTGCCAGAGTTATGCGGTTTATATATCCTTTAAAAATGTATCATTTTTTGTTTTGGGAGCTCTTCATTTCTTGGAATTATTTTTTTTATTTACATAATCAATCTGGTTGTTCTATTGTTTTAGAAGAGAGGGTAAATGCGTTTTTTCCCTCGAGTTTTCTTAGCCAACAATCTGAAAAAGCGAAAAAAGAAACGACAAAAGGAAAAGACAAATTAAAAAAAATTAAAAAAAATTTTTTTTACTCTTTTGAGTAAGTTGACAATAGAATTTCATGAATGGAAACTGTGACTCTGAATTGAGTGGACGTTTTCGAAATAATGATTATGTTATTGTTTCTTTGTTTTTTGTCAAATGTTGACTTGTCAAGTAAACATTTCGAAGAATAGATGGGAGCCGTACTTTTCTTTTTTTGGAAAAAATATGTATTCAGAACGGTTCACAGCAGTTTAATTATATGCTAGCTTCTACTATTTAGTAATGTGTATTCCTTAAAATTGAGTATAGGATTTTTGTAACCATACATGTTGGGGAATGTTAAAAGTAGCTTTTTACTTGAATTATTGGCATTTTTTAATGCATGGATACATACAAATACAAGAGATCTTTATGAATAAAAATATTACCATCGAGTAGATATAGTTTCAAGGATCATTTTGAGCCCATGTGGTCTTCTATGACTGCTAAAACCATACAAAAAATCCTGGTTTTTAACTTCCTGTATTTTGTATCAACTTTCTTTTGCATTTTAAATTGGGAAAAAAATTTCGCCCTTGGACGACTTGACCTGATGTGATGTTTGGGTGTGTCACAATTAATTTTCTTTCTCAGTTGGGAAAAATACGAAAAAGTTATTTTTCCACCTTTTCAAAAAAAGAATAAAAAAAAAATAAAAAATAAAGAGAGATATAAAGAGAAGAAGAAAATACAAAATGGAGCTTTCTTTGGATGAGCATTGTTGGAGCTCTTCAAACGTAAATAAAACCATCTAAAAAGCATTTAGGATGTTTTTTTAACAATAGAATGTTTATGTTTTTTTTGGATTATCATAAGCAGTATTTTTTAGTATGTATGAATATTGGAAGAACCTTCATATACTGGAAAAATCACACTGAGGAGAAGGGTCGTAGCTGTCACTTTCTCAATGGGAAGAGTGAATTTAAAAAGTGATACCAGTGTTATAGATATTGTAGAAAAGTAATTTTTTTACTTTACAGCATGGAGTGGAGAACAAAGTTAGGTCTTTGTCATATTTGATTTTTGATCTTTCTTGTTGCGTTTTAGCACTGAAAACTGCATAGTGTACTTGTAAGGCCCTGTCATACACTTTCAAATATTCATTAAAAACTTGTGAGCAGGTGCAAATATGACAACTATATGAAACTGTTATCCCATGATAGCTGTCTAATTTTTTATTAAATGTAAATTTTCTTCTTTTCTAAGATGGAAAACAAGATTTTAACCCTTTTGTTGGCCATTTACAGAGGAAAGCCTAAGAGATAGATGTGAAAAAATAAGAAATAGTGGTATCAGATGTGGGTTTGCATTTAAGTTGTAGTCTTTTCTAAACTAGGGTAATGTTTTAAATATTAACAAGCGTAGAATGGGGAAGACAAGGTGTCGTTTTTTATTCATTATTATTGTTTTCACAAAAGTGCAATTTTTGGCAAGATTTGCATTAACCAAGGCGTACATAAGTAAATAGTGATGAAGCATGATGTTTTAGAATGAGATAAATAAAGTAACGGGAGTTTAGCAAATATTAGGCAATAGAATACTGCATCTTTGTTGTTTATCTATCACTAGACGTCGATGAAACTAGTCAGCTGATTTTGGTCATTTATAGGGCAAAAATACTCGATATCCACATATATAAATTTGAAAACTTCTTCACACTACATTTTTATTTTACTTATACCTTTTGCACATTATGATTTTTGGACTGTGTATAAAGAAAATAAGCGAAGAACTTTACTTTGAATCTGTATACTATTAACTACATAGTGATTAAAGAATCTACTTGAGAATATGCCCAACTTCCCAATACTTTACATAAACTTTTGACCATAAATCATTCTGTTGAATATCTTTTCTCCTAAAAATTTGGAAAAATCACAAATTGAGAGCTATGATTTCTTGACTAAATCCATAAATTAACTTGAAACAAAACAAGAACTTTGGTGTTTAAACAGTGTTATTTTCAATAGGGTAAAAAGTTTCTTTTTTGTAAGGGCCCATATTTCAAACATTTATGATACTGCTAATTTTCCTCTTTTTTTTTAAGTCGATGGAATAGATAGAAGGCCGGTATATAAACTTACTTAATGTTTTTCGACATTTACTGTTTTACTATTATTATATTTTAAGAGCTTCAAGAGTTTAGGATTGGATCGAGTATCGTTGCTGGACTTTATTTAGTGCTCTAGCTTCTTTATGACAAGTATAGATACAAAATAAAAATAAAAATAAGGAGACATATCTATATTTTCAAAATTCTTTTTTATTCTTAAAAATTGAACACAATTCCTATCACTTAACAGTAACATTGCTCCAATAATCTATGCATATTGATAGTATTATATTTATTTGTTCAATCCACATTATAAGATAGTGCCTTGTTTCCTTTTATTGTTTCAAGTCTAAGTGCTATTTGTGATCTGATAAAAATTTGAAAAGAAAAAAAAAGAAATAAAAAAAAAAAAAGAAAACAGTACAAGATGAGATAAGAAAGCACAAACATACTGTACAAAGCTTTTTAACTCGAGGGATGGGGAAATGGGATTCAGGATAAACACAGGACCGGACTCTACACATGGACCGCTAGTACTTTTGAAGAATAAAGAAAAGGAGAATATTGCTTACTGCACGCTGTTTAATAAGAAGGTACGTATAGACTTTTTTACTAATATTCTTTTAATTCATTTGGCATAATTATTTGTTTGGGAATATAGAAGTTTACTATTGACTTCATTCTGCCTAGTTATCATAAAATGCCTTATGTTCCAGAACCCAATGAATTGGTGGCTGAGAAACAAGTTCCTGCAGACACATTGAGTTCGTATCTACCTCGTGTGGACCAATTCTATATCCCAGAATGGCTAACTATGCAATTTGTTGCTAATAATATGGTTAGTTTCACACCATTACTTTCATATGGATCCACAGTATTAAGTATTGAACGGTGTAAGACTGCTTTAGGTTTTTCAATTGACATTTGTGCGACTATGATGATTGCAAGCATACTCAGGGTGTCGTACTATTTGATCACGCCATATGAAATTACTCTGTTAAGACAATCACTTGTTATGATATTTATTCAATTAATTTTATTGAGAACAAGTTTGAAATATCGACCTGAGGAATATAGATATGATAATTTGAAAGATGTAGAGCCGTTGAGTGAATTATTGCAGAACGTTTGGTTGGAACAATTCGGCACAAACAGACCGCATATTTTCAGTGATGACTGGAAGCAATCTTTAATGGAATTATCAGCTAGAAATGTGGTGAGATTTGTGTGGAAAATATTTTTGGTCTTTGCATATAAAATCTTGAAATTTTTCGACCCCAGTTATAAACGGGTGTTTGCCTTTTGGCAATGGAATGATGATAGAATATTTTGGAAATTTTTAATGATATTTTCCAGCATTCAGATTTTGGTAACTTTATTTATATGTAAGCTAATGAACTGGGATAAACTAGCACAATACCTTGGGTCGATCATTGGGTCTATGGGGTTGTTAGTGGAATCTTTATTACCTTTGCCTCAGATTTCAATTTTGAATAATCTGAAGTCTGTACAAGGTTTCAAGCTAATTTTATTAGTCAGTTGGCTTTGCGGTGATACGGTGAAGATTACATATTTGGCGTTTGGCGCTAAGAATATATCAGTATTATTCTTTTTCTTTGCATTTTTTCAAATGTTTTTAGATTTCTATATTGCTGGACAATATATTTATTATAAATATTACTACAATAAGGACAAAAATGATGGGACTCAAGAAGAAGATATCGAGTTAGAGACCTTTGACTCATCGGCCAAGGACAAACTCGTTCTCTCTTCCAATGATACAAAGTCGCATTATCCTGGAGTAAATGAGGCAGAGAGGTCATTAGTTATGGAAAACAAAACAGATACACCGCCCCCATCAGTGGTAGGAGGACCTTCTCGTAGATCTTCCACAATATAAATATCTGTCTTTTTTTTGTGGTGGTAAACAAGAAAGAGAATTTGAAAGAAAGAAAGCAGGAAATGGTCATACGCCTTTAGTTTCTGAGGGGTGGAGAAGGGATTACATATAAATACATATATGATAGACATATTCTTATACATACATAGACGAGCATTATGACTGTCGTGGTTAATAAGTTGTGTAGATTTCGCAAAACTATACTTGTAGTTAGTTAGATATTGATATATATATAGACATGGAGATACAGATGGAAATATGGATGAATCAAGCGGACTATATATTAATGCACACCTATATAGTGCAGATGCCCTTGTCCATGGATCTTTGAATATTGAATTTGCATAAAGCACATCGCTGCTACAACAAAGCATACATAATTAATTGGTGACTACCAAATCACCCACTGCCCAGTCCAGTCTTGTCGATACTATTCAGCTTGCGTTGGTGCTTGTTGTGATTACCTTCTTCCATACTCAGTCCTATCTTTTCATTCTTCTAGTTTGTTTTGTCTTTTTTGTGTTTTGGTCAGGGCAGCTGATTAAAGTGCGTCTTTCTATAGTACTTTTTTATTCACCGTTCAGCGTGACAAAAATTGGCTGTTTTTAAGTGGATGTTTCAGCTTCCGGTGTATGGGTGTGTTTGTGTGTGTGTGTGTCTATTTATAGTGAATCTTCGAGCTGAGGAACGGCTGAATAGAACTTTTTGCAAAATTATAAAATCAAGATCAACTGGAATTTCAAAAAGGGATGCAAAGCAAAGGCAAGGAGTGGAAACAGTGTGGAGAGGAGGATTTTTGCACTTATGTTTGTCTGTCGCATAAATGGATACCCGAAGTTCGAGTTTAGGTCAAAAAGAAAAAAAAAGATATGATAATAGGGGAAATACTCCACACTATTTCTTGGTAAATTTGGTATTGATTATCTTGAATTACGCGATAATATACACTTTGGTCAGCCTTCTTCTTTTTTCCTCTTTCATCTTTCTTGTTAATTTTGCTCTATATATACTCAATAACTAACAGTATTAAAAATTAAATCTGTTTTTCATTTTTTATATATATAAATATATTGCAAGTTACAAGTCATTGAGATTGAAATAAAAATAAAAATTTAACAACGGAAGAAGGAACATGTTCTCTCCTTTATTAAAAAATGAACCAATGTTAAAGATGTTGTCTAAAAATGGCAACGTTTTAGCTAAAAGATATTTCAATAAATTTCACAAGAAACCACTGGAAGGTGTAATTCTAAATTCAAGTTTTAACAAGGACTCAACAACAGTCAGTTTTATTGCACATGAAAATAATCGTTCTAGTACAGATAAACCATACACCGTGTGTTTTAATAACATATTCCTAAGAGATTCTTCTAGGTCTCCAGGCTCTGTTGATGTCGGATCTGGCCAAAAATTGTTTACCACAGGTGAGCTGGCAACTGATTCAATTCATACAACCCCAGAACTTGTTGAGATTACATCAGATGGAAAGTTTTTGACCATTAAATGGAAAGATGGAGACGTGTACGATTATCCATTAGAGTTTCTATATAAATATAAAGGTTCCACTTTTGTCACTAGATCTTTAAGGAATAGACATACAAGCCACAGACCAACACTGTGGGACACTATGATATTCAATGACCATTTAAAGACATTTGCAATGGATTATGATGAATTTTTGCATGATGATAAAAGATTTTATGATGCGTTGATTAATTTACAAAAGATTGGGATGGTGATGATCAAGAATTTACCAAAGATCGATAAAAGTGTGGATCCTTTACGCCTCCTATGCAATAGAATCGGTCCAGTTAGATCAACCATTTATGGTGAAATATTTGAAGTCAATAATTTGAAGCCAAATGATTCAAATATTACGTTCTCCAATAAAAAACTACCGTTTCATCAAGACTTGACATATTTGGAAAATATTCCAGGTTTCCAATTGTTGCACGTTGTTAAAAATGAGACAGACGGTGGTGAAAACCTTTACGTTGATGCATTCAATTCTACAAGGCACATTAGAGAGACCGACATTGAAGCATACGAAGCATTGAATATTGTCCCTATTAATTATCAATATAAGAAGGATGATAAGAGATATTACCAGTCTAAACCATTAATTGAACAATACGATTCAAATGAGCATAATGTAGAAATTGGCAACTACGAATACTTGATTAAAACTATCAATTATTCACCACCATATCAAGCGCCATTGACGTACGGTATCTATAATAAAGCTCCAAACAGAGAGGTTTCTACTGCACCAGGTAAAGTTATTGAAAGATTTTTGTTTAGAGACTTCATTAGGGGTTTAAAATTGTTTGAACAGTCTATTAATAATCCAGTAAACCAGATAGAGATATCTATGCCAGAAGATACGTGTATAATTTTCAATAATAGAAGAATTTTACATGCAAGAAATGAAATTATTTCAAAACCAAATTCTCAAAGACTATTTAGAGGTTGTTTTATCAGTAACGACCATTTTATGAGCAAGTTAACATACTTTGAGGAAAAATTTGGTTCATAATATATTTAATAAATAGTTTTTCTTTTTTTCTTTGTTTGTTTATGTACGTCATGTTAATATTATAATACTTTGTTGTACTTAATTTTTTTGTCCTCATTTCAATCGTGGAAAGAGTAATAGCTTTGTTCAGAGATATTGTCATAAATTGGTTGTATGCATTTGTTAGTCTATTTACAAATTATCGCATGTTGACGGTTTGTCTGATTTTTTAATGGTTGTTCCTTATTTTGTAGTCCATTTTGTATTTACTTAAATATGTTTTTTTATTTTGGTATCTGAAATTCGTCAATCATAAACAAAACCATTAAAAAATCTATAGCCGCTGAAAGAGCCGAACTAGTAAACAAACATACATCATGTTGAAATATAATTATTAGAGCTATGTTTGATAATCTAAATTCATCGTACTAAGTGATTAAAAGTTATGAAAATTTATAGTAAAGAAGATTCAAAGATAAAATGAGTATACTGTATAATATTGTATCTTGTATATTACTTATATAGAAAGAAAAGGACTAAGCAATAAAATAACAATTTATAGTACCACTAACTTCCTACTATAAATAATAATAGAACTTATAATACCACCAATATCCTATTGTAAGTTACATTATCTTATTATATTAGTTTAAAATGAACTCGACTAGAATTTTTGATTCTGAAGCCTTGCGTCAACACATCAAGAACTTACAAAGAGAGTAAAATAAATTTAGTATAACCAATGTCAAGTTTATTTGAATTAATAAAAAACAACAACACCAGAAATAGTCTTTTGGAAGCATTAAAACCAAAGATACGTAAAATCACTTTAGAAAATGTTAGTAGAGAAACAGATTTAGTAGAAAGTATTCTTGCAAACTTTTCCATGACAGTACAAGCACTTGAACAACATGGTGAATTTATAGATTTTCAAATTACGGTGGTTAAAAGAAATGGAACAGATTATATTTCAGAACATCGACACTTAATGTTCCCCAATTTGGGTAAATTTTCTAAATTGTCCAAAATTAATATCAGAAACGTTGCCATTTTGTTAAATCTAATGGGGACAATTAAAGAAAGATATTACTTACAACACACAAGTACAATAAGAGACATTTTCTACTCCAATGTAGAATTGTATCAAAAACAGACTAGAGTTAATTATTGGTTACAAATTATTGCCTCAAATTTTAAATTAAACAATATTAATAAGCTGAATATTGTTCCGGCTCAGAAGGGACTCATATTCTCTTCAATACTATTACATATTGATGATTCCATTATTTTGAAGCCTGGATTAATACATTTAATCCCATATATAAACGAAAATTCCAAGGTAACAATACAGAATGACGCATGTAACTTAGTGAGACAGATGCACTTAAAAATATTTGAAAAAGAAGCTATATTTAACAAAGTCGTTCAAAATTATTATAATAACAATAACAGTCAAGCATCACTTTCTGACACTATTTTTGTTACCGGAAAGGGGTATCCTGATACGTTAACAAAAGTGTTAATTGAAAGATTGAGCCATTGTTTATCAAAAGATATTTTAATTAGGCTTTATGTGGATGCAGATCCATATGGTATAAACATTGCTCTTTCATATATCAAAAACGCATCAAATATAAAATCCATTCATTATAATGGCGTCTCAATCACCCAATTAATCAAAAGAAGGGGGCAGATACTGCCCATGAATTATCGAGACTACATAATTGCAAAATCAACAATACACCGTATCACAAAGCAACTGAATTCGATCGATCTCTCCATACTTGGCACCCCTTATCCTTCTCTTAAATCAGAATTACAACGACAAATGTTTTGGGGAAAGAAGGGTGAAATGAATGCTCTTTATGCATAAGCTTCGAATGCTTAAACCTTGTCACTGCTACTTCCAAACACAATATTCATTTCTTTATTTACTTACCCTATTATTTCGATTCGACCTCCCTATCTTTACATATCCAGAACAACCCACTTATTGCAAATTCTGCTTCCTCCTCCTATTTTGACGTCGCGTTTATTTCTTCGAGGAATTTCTAAACAGAAAGAAAAAAAAAGAACCAACATAAGAAAAAAGCAGATGAATAAATAAAAAAATAAATAAAGTAACCTATTAATGAATGTGTCTAAGCATCCATAACAAAATCAGTCATCCAAAGTGGAACCTAACCGATACTCAAATTAGTTGACAAGGTGTGAAAAATATTGTAATCAAACAAAAAAAAAGTGTTGTGTGCACATTCTGGAACAAAAGAAGAGAGTATTCAATAGCATCCGCAGATCTTTTGAGAGTACAAGAATAATCCATTGTTAATCGTTACTTACCTTGTTTACTTCTTTTCCCATACCCATTCGATTCACTTGAAGAAAGAAAACAATGATGTTAGTCAAATTGGTTTCTATTTTATCTGCCCTTGTAAGTTTAGCTGTTGTCAACGCTTCTTCTGCTAATTATGCCCCATTTTCCATAAATTTACCTGCCTTCTCTAAAGAATGTTTCTACTATGATCTGATCCATGACGATGACTCATTAGTTATTGGATACCAAGTATTGACTGGTGGTAATTTTGAAATCGACTTTTCCATTACTAGTCCGGATGGATCTGAGATTGTTAACGAAAAACAAAAGAAATATTCTGACTTCGTTTTAAAATCATTTGGTCTTGGCCAATATACTTTCTGTTTTGCCAACACATACGGGACTGCATTAAAGAAGGTAGAGGTTACTTTGGAATTGGAAAAGACCTCTTTTGATATCCAAGACGAAAATAATAAGGAAGATGCTGTTGCAAACCATGCTATTGCTGAAATTGACAGAAATTTAAATAAAATAACTAAGGTTTTAAACTATCTAAGAGCTAGAGAACACAGAAACATGTCCACTGTTAGTTCTACCGAATACAGATTGAAATGGTTATCAATTTTAGTCATGGTTATCATGGTTGGTATCAGTGTGTTACAAGCTTTGATTATCCAACTGTTCTTTAAATCTCGTCAAAGAAATTTTGTTTAACTCATACAGTTCCAAACTATATATATATAATAGCAGATACAAAAAGGTACCTCTATATATACATTTACGTGACTTTATTTTAAATAATATCGTTCAATGAAAGTAAGTATAAATATGTAACATATCCGTGAATAAAAGAACATATAAACAAACAAACTATAGAAAACATTTTCAAAGAAATATTTAATCGTGATCAAATATAGGCATGTATTTGGAAGTGAAAGATCGAAAATAATCAGTAATTGATATAAGTTAATAATAGAGTAGATAAGAAGCTTATCTTAAACATATTCATTTCCTGAATTTTAATTCTTTTTAAAATAGACTTGCTCTGAGAAGTCCCAAGTCGAATCAACTGATTTCCTCTCAAGTCAATGATTCCACGATTACGTAACCATTCTAACACCAACATACTAAAAACTGTCAGATATATCAAAGTACTAGATATTTTTATCATAACTAAGCCAAACCCAATACCCAATATGGAACCAAGACACATTTGTTTATATATAATCTTTCTTCTTTTATGTGACTCTTCTGCAGACACTACATTCCTGTCCAATTGATATTCATCTTCTTTCATCCTTAGTTTCATGTTATCATTGGTTGTTATTATTGCAGACTCATTATTAATCAGAGATCGACTTGTACGCCCATAACCATACAGGGATCCTACCCCTAACCCTGCGGTCAATCCCAGCCATAACTTACAACCTCTGTAAGATTTAAATTTGGATGATATATCCCAGTTACTTGTACATTGGGGCTTAACAACAGTTTGGACTTCATTTACACTGCAATATAATGTACATTGACTCTGCGTAAATTGTGAGGTTAATCTCTTTCCTGGAGTAAAAATCTTTAGATTATTATTAGCTATCAGGGAGATTCTTCGTTGATTACCAACTCTTAAACCTGATTTATACGTGCTCATCAAAGAACCTGTACAATAAAACATAGTCAACATAATTGAGAGTTTGGTTACTTGCTAATAGGGTTCAGTCTTTTCTAAGGACTCGTAGTCTTTAAATTGTTCAAAGATGATTCTAATTCAATGTTCTTTTCTAACCCTTTAATTATTTAGAAAGGGACAAAAATAAGCAATTTCAATTAAATGAGAAAGTCAATCGTTATAGCCATATACTACACACGAATATTTGAATACCAGATTTAAACCAAAAATAAATCAATTACTATTACAAATTTATTACAAAGTAATTTTCCTCATCTATGTAAGTCTCTATATATTGTAACATATCACTATCAACATCATCACAAAATTTTATTTTATTGACTGAGTTTTACGTCGTCTAGCACCTTCTCTGGCCCAAAATTCATCTCTATATATCTCCCAACCTTCCCTGACTTCTGCTCTAAATGCCTTTGGATTCAATACCAACTTAACATCTACTGCACCAATTCGTGGTTGAGATCGAATTCGAACATTTTCCCAAAATCGTACTACCACATTGTCACCACACTTAAATATTTGACAGAGAATCCACAACTGAATCAATGCAACATTTCTTGTAATGAACCTGACCAAATCAGTAAATTTTTCATCCCATGAAGAGTGAACTTTTATCAATCTTATATTGAATTGTTTTATACCTTTATTAGTGGTGTTAAAAAATCGTCTTGGTAATATAATCGTCCTTCTGTATTGTCCACTGATGTAAAACAGAAAAACTGTAATTATGACAAACACCAACATTAATTGTAATATAAACCTATACAATGCATTGTTACTGTTGACATAACGATGATTGAGCTGTTTGCTATTATCATTATTATTTGAATAGGTTGTAGATAAGTAATAATTTTGTTCAGGGGTTACAAGAGTTGATGTTGTAAAATATAATTCATAGACAGCAAACCCTGCAACTCCCATCAGTGTAGAATAGAATGTAGTATATTGCCATCTTAACCTCTTTTGTTGTCTAGCTTGTTGTCTTAAATCATCTTCAAGAATTAATAAGTTTCGAAATATTTTTGAGGCTGGCGATATATCAGATGAGTTGCGCACTGTCCTAGTTCCACTGGAGGAAGCTTTACTATTAGACCTTTTACGTGCTACCATTGTAGGATTCTCCTGTTCATAACTAGATGTAATATTTCCATACTCTACACTACCACCTCTATTCTCTTCAACAGAATAGCACCTATAAGGGTAAGAATGCAAATATTTACTGTTATCATACTGATTACTGAAACCTGTATTATCACTGTCGACTCTTTCAGAATCTCTATCTTTGTCCAGCCTATCCAATAGCTCTGAAGATAGTGGATGGCCCAAAAACTCGATTTTTCTAGCTATTTGTAATTCAATGTTATTTGACGCATAATTGTCAGTTCTTTGACCTTTTTTTAGACCTACAGAAACTGTATCAGTATGTGTAATTTCAGCACCAGAAGCATGTAATGTATTAGTTTCATTGACATTATCATCCTCTTCTTTCACAATTGTCGGTGATGTTAAGAATTTTTCTTCTTTTGTATTTGAGTCTTCTAACACATCCATTGATCTAATAACAAATCATACAGTCGAGTATTCTTAATCTGACAGTATTATTCAGACTGGATGGCACTTTTTTGGACTTCTTTATGGGTTTTCTTTAGCTTGTAATGAGTCTAGCCAACTCTTACATATTAATTTTGTTCTGCCTCCGATTATTTTCAACTTTAACCTTTAAATCTTTTAGACGGATACCTTCACAAGATACAAGACATTAGAACACATATAAATATCCATACTGTTACATGCATTCTATCTACTGAAAGAATTTTAAGTAAGTTCAACACATCAATAAGTGTTAGACAAAGAGAGCTACCAGCAGTTACTGTTATCTCAGGTTCACAACTACCCAAATCAAAATATTATTTTATGACTAGGGTCCCAGCAGAGTAGAACTCTTCATCAACGAAAAAATGCTAGATTATATGGATTATATAGTCAGGGCTTTTGAGCAGCAAACAAACTGGTATTCAGATAATAGTTATGAAAATATAACTGCTACCTCGCGAAGTTTATTAAATTTTACCATTCCACAATCCATTAAGTTTCAAACATCAAATAAATCCACAGATTACACATATAGCACTCTAGAGTTGACTCGTGGTAAGAAGATTAATGGCTCTCTCACATACTTGTACACTGATGTTGAAGGTTTGAACAAAATTCTTCGAAATTCTAATACGATTGCTCTTCAGGATGCTATCGAAACATATAAATACATACAACCAAGTTTTACTATAGATAATTCAAAACATTTGACAAATTCAGAGTTATTATCCTTCAAATCTAATGTATCCAATAGTAGGAATACCACATATAATGAGTTTAGACCTAGTTCCTTATACCTTGGCAGATTGTACTACCCAAGCTCTGTCTTGGAAGCCATGATGATTAAAAGATTATCTCCATACACCCAAATGACCATCAAATGTATAAGCTCTACAACAAGGGGTTCAAATTTAAACTTCTGGACCTTTTACTGGCAACATTACAAGGGACACAATTGTCAAGAATGTGTTTTTTCCTCCAACGATGGTCTCTGCGGTTATAGAATATTACATAATGTAACGACTTCTCCTTCTAAATTTAATAGTTCTCTGTATAATAACTCATCGTTAGCTGTTGGTGCTGAACTATGGTTATCTTTAAGTTCGTTAAATCCGGGTTGTTCTACAAGTCTTCGATACTGCACTCATTCTGCATATACAGGGAGACCCTTAACTCTAACCTTCACATGGAATCCATTGTTTGGTCATGTTTCATCCACCTATTCAGCTAAAACTACATCAAATTCTACCTTTACTACAAAATACGATTTTAATTTGTATTCTACCGAAGCTAATTTATCATTTGGTTGTGAATTTTGGAAAAGTGACACTTTAACCTCTTTATCCCCCACTTCCATAAACACGAACACATCATTGGATGTTGAAAAAGCCAAGATAAAAATCGATGCTCAGTCAGAGATAATTGATTCTGATAATACAAATCAGGAAATGTTTTCCTCAAATCGTAAAATATCAACTGAGTCCAGTATTATGCCACAAAACGAAAATTTGGTGAATTATTCAAATAGCCAACAGCAATACATTAAGGATGTAACACACACATTTGAATCATCTTTAATACGGCTGGATAAAGAAAAGTCAATTATCGAAGATTTTGAAAATAAATTCAATAATAAAAAGTACAGTAGTGTATGGAAACTGTCAACATCGTTAATGGATAAAAATTTGAAAATCTTGTGGGAAGGTAAGTTTAAGGGATTTTTATTGTCTGCTGGGACTGAATTATTATTTAATAGACAAAATAAAGGAATTCAACCCATGATTAATCCTGCAACACAGTTTGGTATTAATATACAATATTCTTCATAAGATTAACATATATTCTCTTTCTCACACTACTATCAACAACAAAATTGTATTGATACTAACGATCAAATATTGTGCCCATGAAATAATCTAATTAGTCCATAACATATAATTAAAACTATGTACATAGCTTGTATACACACATTATGAACAACTCAGGAATTAACAGAGGAGGCTCTTTTTGCTCTTTTGCCTCTAATCCTATTTTCATATTCATTGGCCTCCACCCTATAATGTTCTGCTAAATCTGCATCATCATAACCATCTAGCTGATACCATAAATTATATCCAGAAAGTCTTGCACCAGTTGCTAAAATTTGAGCCATATAACGCTGAACATCTTCTAATTTGTTTGTCGAATTCAAAACTATAGGTGAAAATCTCTTTGGTATATCTGCAATTACAACTGTTACTGTAGAATAAAGTGGCGAAGGGCATCCTCTTACAAAATATATTTCTTTATCAAATGGTTTCTTTAATTTTTTGGAAAACCTGCTGATGTCTCTTTCATTGTGGACGGTTATCCAGGAAATAATATATTCATTCTTTTCCTCAACATATTCAATAATAGAGTCCTTTGGGATGTAATAACGAATATACTTCTCTTCCAAAAATTCAAGTACTAATGTCGCACCTTTCAAATACTTCAATTGAAAAGCTGTTAGTCGTTCTTCCTCTATATCAGTAGATTCTTTTATTCTAGGCCTTTTACTAGGTTTTTTCTTTGAATCTAGTTTTCTTTTATTGTCACATGATTTTAAGTCACCTTCTATCATATCCTTTTCCTTTTTACCCTCTTTATTCGCCACATCTAGTGTTGGTATCAATACAATAGAATTTTCATTGGATTCTTGTTTTATTTGTTCTAGAGGTACATTCTTCTCATCCAGATGACTTATTGTATTATCTTTTTCATTTGCTTGAAGCGATGTATTGCCATTTATATCAACAGGTAAATTTCTGCTCATGGATGAATCGTTAGTTTCTGAAACTGAGGACTCTACAGAATTTTTACCTTGTTCCAAATTCTTAATGACAACATCTACACCAAGGTTAACCAAATCTAATTCCTTCGAAGTTAGCTGAAAACTCTTCTGTATATCAGACCCACTCTCTTCTGTTGTTACATCTGTCTGCTGTATCCTGCCATTAGTATGCTCTGATGTTAACTTTTCTCTAGTTTCTTTAAAAACTACTTCCATCCTATTTATATTATCCGCTTTGTCATCACCAGTTTGTTTATTTATATGAGGGTTTTCCTCGTTTACGGTTGAAGTCACATCTTTTATTCTAGAATCTTCGTCTCTCATTTCCAGTTCCTTTTCATTAGAATCTCCTTCACTTATTTTGGAATAATTCTCGTTCACCAGTGAGGCCTGTTCTGATATCCTATAACCACTCTGTTTTTTCTCACAATTATTCGACTCTACTTCAGAAATACTCTCTTGTGTATTAAATCCTTCTTTTTTCGCCTCAGTTTTGTTATCTTTTATTTTAAAATCTTGCTTTGCAAATTCTAAATTTTTATCTTTTACCTCTGAGTTATTATCTTGTATCTTAGCGTCCTTTGCCTTCTCAGCAGTACTGCTTTCTTTCATTTCAGTGTTTTGATCTTTCAACTTATAGACTTCTCCTGCCATTTTAGAATCGTTTCCTTCTGCCTCAGTAACCTTTTCCTTGTTTTCCAAATTGCCTTTCTTTTTTTCAAGTTGCTTCGTTCTCACCTTCTTTTCTTTCTTATTAGTTTGTGCATTCTGCATAGTTTGTAGATCAACAAATGCTTTTTCTGGGGCCCATCCTGGTGGGGCAGGCATTTTTTTTGCCATGGCGATAACCTGCTTAAATTCTTCCACTTCATCAGGCATTGCCTCTCCATCGGCAACTTTCTTCATAAGAGAACCAAGTAAAGGATCTTTAGAAGCCAACATATTCAAATTGGCAATCATTATTGCATCTCTCATAGAAGTTGTAAGCTGTTTAGACTTTTCTACTTTTTTAGTATCTTCGCCATTGTCATTGGTATCTTTATTGTTGTTGTTATTCTTATTATCATTTTTGCTCTTCCGAATTTTGGCTGCTTTTAAAGCCTTTTCCTTTTTCTGTAATTCTTTCAATTCTTTCAATCTTTTCTTTTCTTCTTTCTTCTTTTGAAGTAGAATCATTCTTTCTTGTTTTGCCTTCAACTTGGCTTCCCTTTTTTGTTCCTTCTCTTGTTGTTTTAATAATCTATTTCTCATTTTTTCCTCATTTCTAAGTCTCTTCTCCTCCTGATTTTGTAACCTCTTCAATTCTTTGGCCTTTTTCTTCAATTCTTGTTCCTCCTGCCAGGTATTTTCAATATTCTCATCTTTCAATATAAACAGTCTAATATCAAATGTATGTGGACCTGCTATCATAGTACAGTCACACATCTTTTGCATCTTATCCTTAATAGAAAAATTTGATACATTTTCTTCCTCTTCCTCTTCTAAGTTACCTTCCAGAAAATCCTTTTTCCAATACAAAGGAAACACATTACCGAAATTGTAAACCCAAGTCCTTCTTGAGATCCATAGAGAATCATATAGTACTGCAGAATCCTTGACCATCAGTGGATGTGTCAAAATAGAGTTATAATTGGGTATATCAATAGTTGCAGGAAGATTTGCAATGATTTCAAAAGGTCTTCCCTGTGCCCATTTTTCAACTTGTGTTAGATCAGATATGTCATATTCTGAATCACTTTCTGACTTTTTTTGTCTCTTATATTTCCTTCTTTCTTTCTTTGGTTCTACGTCATTTGCATTCTCTGGAGATTTTGTTCTTGTTCTTAAAATTACCATTATCGGTTTCTGCTATTAATTAGTGAACATAGTAATGACAACAGGAGTAATTAAAGTATAGAAGACCACAAAGTTGCAAAAGAGGACAATATATATAGACACTGTACTTTCTTCATTTATCTGTTTAGTCATCCATTCATATCTCTCACTATGCCACAAACTAGTTCATCTCCTATGACCAATGCCACTAATAAAAGAAATGTGCCCAGGAAGAAACTGAACTGTACCTTACTAGTTTTGTCATTCCATACGTTTCTAGAGGAAAGACCTAAAAACCAGGAAAGCCGCAAGTAGGGCGGGAAAATAAATTTCTGGATATTTTACCAAAGGTCATTAGGGCTAACCTCACTTTGAAAATAAAAAAAATGAAAACCCTAGAGTAGTGTAAGATAATGATGATATATAGATGAAATGAGCAAATAAACGTTAAATCTTAATATTTATTATAATTATATCTAAGAGATGAATGTGTATACAGAAATGAGTTTATAAATGTATTTTATAATGATATATATATATATCTATATCGACAGAGTTTCTTGATCAGTTACCCTTGGTAGCAATTTCAAGAGCTTGCTTTATATCCGCTAGTAAATCATCGACATCTTCAATACCAACAGATAATCTAACTAAATTGTCATAAACACCAGAAGCTTCTCTTGCCTCTTTTGGAATACCACCGTGTGTCATGACGGCTGGAACTTCTAATAGAGATTCAATACCACCAAGAGATTCAGCCAAAGCAAATAATCTAGTGGAAGAAGAAAACCTAGCAGCGGCTTCAGCACCGCCTTTGATTCTGAACGAGATCATACCACCCCCTAAACCATCACGATGTTGTTTCTTTACAATATCACGTTGAGGATGCGATTTCAAACCTGGGTAATTGACAGCTTCCACAGCATCACTCGATTCTAAGAACTCAGCAATCTTTTGGGCATTTAGAGATGCTTGTTTGACTCTTAAGTGCAATGTTCTCAAACCTCTGTGAGATAACCAAGCATCAAATGGAGATGGGATAGCACCAACAGCGTTTTGCAAAAATTGTAATCTTTCATAAAGTTCCTTGTTGTTGGTAGCAAGAACACCTAGAACGACGTCTGAGTGACCGTTAATATATTTAGTGGCAGAGTGAACAACAATATCTGCGCCAAAGTTTAATGGATTGGATAAGTATGGGGATAAGAAAGTATTGTCAACCACAAGTAAGATATCTTTATTTAGAGACTTAATCAAGTCAGACACAGCACGAATATCGGTAACCTTTAAAGTTGGGTTAGTTGGAGACTCAATCCAAACCAGTTTGGTGTTTTCTTGAACTAAGGATGGTAAATCTTCTAATAAATTATTAGTGAAGGTAGTTTCAACACCGTGGGTGTTAGCAACTTTAGTGAAATATCTGTGAGTACCACCATAGACATCACCGATAGAGATAGCGTGAGAACCTTGTGGTAAAGATTGTAGGATGACGGCAGTAGTAGCAGAACCAGAAGAAAATGCAAGGCCATATTTACCATTTTCTAAAGCAGCAACTGCATTTTCCAAGTTTTCTCTGTTTGGGTTTTGAGATCTGGAGTATTCATAGGCACCGATTGGATTAGCTGGAGAAGATTGCTTAAAAGTAGTGGATAAGGAAATAGGTTCAATAACAGAACCATGAACATCGATATGGGAACCAGCATGGATAGCCTTGGTAGCAAATTTATCGGTAGATTTGATAGCCATTTTCAATTAATATCAATATGTATATATACTTGTTTGTTATCTTTTATTTTTTTTTTTTTTTTTTTTTTTTCTTTTAACAATATACTAAAAGTGATATATGGAGTTGAACAACTGCTAATCTCTGCTGTTGTGATGTTTTTATAGGTTAAATAACACATATTAAAAGAAGGAGTAGGACCTCTCAAGATACAGACAGTGATTCCTACCATATTGTAACAAGCTGCCAGAAATAAGATCGAACGATAAAACGATAGAACGAACGATAATCTTTGAAAGCTAATTATCCAAGACAGATCATCCACAACGATGGCCATCGCAAACAAACTGAACACGGCATTTCTCGACCAAGGCACGGATTTTTGTGTATTGTGTTGTTTAGTCTTTTCCTTTGTTTTCTCGAGAAAATAGAGACAAGACTTGCACAATGAAAAAAAAAAATAGAAAAAAAAAGAAAGAAAAAAAACTGAAACAAAAAACCCGCATTTACCAATCCGCACGGAATTTGCAGAAAAAATAATAAGAATTTCTTTTTCCTTTTCACTTTATGACATAAATCGTTAAAACTGTGTAAATACGCAGAAAGATGAGGTAGAAACTGTGGAACTACAAAAAACAAAGTCACTATTTAATTAAAGGGAACTAATTGAAATTAGTCATCTTACTAAGTTCATCTCTGTTGTTATATTAATCAGTTTTTCTTTAGAAGAAACTAAAAGACATCTTCAGCTTTGATAAAACGGACATATAGAAGAATATGCAATTAATGACTTATTGGTTTACTGTATTTGATACATGTCTAATCGCCATATCCACAAAAAGATAAAAGTGATTATTATTCGTTATTTTTCCTTTCTCCCTAATCAATTATCTATTATATGATGCCACCATGCATAAACACATATTCTTGTCATTACTACTATTGTTACAACCTTTATTGTTGTCACTGAGACTGTGTCTGTTGCTGTTGTAATAAAAGATGTAACTCTTGGAAATCTTCGACAATCTCTGAATCCCTTAAACCATTAAGAGCAGGTGCACCTGGAAATCCTCCATAATAACGCTTTAGACCCTCTAAGTCACTCAAGGCATTATTCAATCTCATCCTATCCACAATGACTTCTAATTTATCTACAGGGTTGTGTCTATACCGGAACTTAATATTTTCACATTCCAAATCTTCACTTAAGGGCTCCCCTGGCAATCTTTGTTGTGCAGCCCCTGCATAACCTGTAATACAACTTAATGTTTTATTTGCAATTTTTATTGGAACATGATACGATACTTCTGGAACCACATTATCCATCCCTCTTCTTTCTTTATTAATATCGTACCATTCTTTAGTAGTCGAAGTTAGCAGATCTCTTTTCAGATCACTTACTTTTTTATAAAAATCTTGATGTATCATCGTCCTTGTGGCTCGTGTTTCTCTATCTATACACTGTAATTCATACTTTTGTCTTTGATATGCCCTTTTCAATTTATAATCACGGATAGAAACAATCTTTTCATAATATCCACGTAGCTCTGGATGCGATCCTTCAAGACACATCTGTAACTCCAATTCTAATTTGATCAATTTATTTTCATATAATCTTTGTCTCAATTCCGCAAACTTATATTCAATGTTAATTATATCGTCCATTGCTTCTAGCCTCCTATTTTCTAATTCCATGGGAGATGGCATAGTTTGTTTTGGTTTCTCGTCTTTTTCTTTGCTAACTTTACTACCATCATTTTCATCCTCCGCTACTTCTTGCTCATCTTCTTCATCCTCATCCTCATCTGCGTCCTCCTCTTGGTCTGCCTCTTCTTCCTCTTCTTCTACTTCTTTGCCTGCCACATTCAATCCATCTTTTGGGTCTAGCTTTTCTGTTTTTACAGATTCCTTAGTTTCTTCTGCCTTATCTATTTTTATTTTCTGCTCCTTATCACCATCTTCTAATGATGGTGTTTTTTGTGGTAGTGACAGAAGTTGCAGATTTGGATTATTTTCAGGAGATTTTATTGGGGACTGCGAAGAATCAGTAGAAACTGATTGTTTTGACATATAACTAGTCTCCAATTTAACCTTTTTATTACTTGGATCATCTTTATTCTCAGAATTATCATCCTCTAAATGATGTTTAATAGCTAGTTTTGCATCCTGCTCCTGCTCCTTCTCTTGCTCTTTTTCATTTTGCTGACTCCCTCCTACACTGTTTTGTCTCTCTTTTATTTCTATATCCTCTAACAACTTTGAAAGCTTTGGATGAAACTCTTCTTCCTCATTCATGATATCACTTTCCATCTTTTCAGTATCTGCATCACTAGATATACAATACTCACTCAAATTGATGTTACCTATGGGCTCATTTGCATCCAAAATTGTCAATGCACTCTCCTCATCCTCATCACGAGAATGATTTGTATCTTCTAGATCGGGTACATTATCCAGCTTTTCCTGATCTTCAATCATTTCCGACAAATAAATAAATATAAATATAAATATAAATATATGTACGTATATTAGTGCAACACCCTTCAACCAACAGTTCTGATGTTAAAAAATAGGAAATTTATCTTTTGGTTATAATAACTGAGTAATAACAAGAGTTACAGCTGTACTGTCAAAATCTTTGGGTATTTGATCCAATAGTCTCTCCACCCATATGCCATCACACATGTTTAACAAAACTATTTACTATGTATATTTCCCCATTTTTAGATCATTTTGATTGTATTATAATTTTTTTTTGTTTATGTTAGAATAGGGTTTTTTGTATTAGGGCTAACCAAAAATTTACGGGAAAAAAAGACACTTTTAAGAAAACAGAACATACTGACACATCCAAAGAAGAAAAAGAAACCAGGAAACCAAATGTGGTTCCTGTGTCTGACTCAATATATACTAATAGGTTTTTTTTCCAAATCAGCACATGGACTATTATAGCAAACAATATGCATTCTATTGCGGATTTATTTCTTTACATAATCTCACATCCAGATTAGTACTAATCATAACAACACTTGTCTTTACTTTTTTTCCACTAACATAACTTTCTATTTTTATTACAGAAAATAGCATCTTTTATCTATACCATAAGAAATATATAGCGAGTGTTATTATGTTAGAACTACAATTTACAAATCGGGGTGAAGACAACACAATTGTGTGTGTAAGTTTTAACTATTTATTTTTTTTATTTTATTTTGTTAAAGATACGACTTTTACAAATGTTAATATGCAATTTTTTAACATACCGAAGATGAGATCTAATTTATATATTTACACCTATGAAGTACTTGATACCATTCACGAATTTGTTGCTTCAGTTCAGTAATGGTTGAGCATTTACCACTCTACAAATAAAACCTTGTAAAACTGGAGCACAAAGGTCTTATTTTGAAAATCGATCACATAAAGGTTAATAGATTATACTATTCTGACAAGAATTCAAATTGCACAAAATAAATAAATAAAATAAAACAAAACTATATTGTAATATATCTTTAGTACTAGTTTTCTTACTCCATTAAGTCCTTGCAAAAATCGAACATGTCAACAGTTTAGAAAAAAATAGCTTTGTCTTATCAGAGCTTTTACCAGTTTACTACCATTTAACCATAAAAATTAATTATAGAACAAAGCTTAAGTGTTACAGTATCATACAGCACTATTGGAAGTCGAAACATGTAACATTTGTAGTAATGGCAAACATCATTAAGTTGTAAACTTTTTTTTATCTTTAATAGGCGTTTATGCTTATTATATTAGTATATACAATGTGAAATTTTTTATTTACTCCAAGTCTTTTAAAGTTTTTCATTTTTTCTTCAAATCTCTGAAAAACATATTTGGTGACAAATAAAATGTCTCCCTAATATTATGACACATCCGTGCACCACATAATATACAGAAAGACTAATTAAAAATAATTCTTATGGAAATGACAGTAATAAACATTCATTTTCCGACAGTCTTGATTATTAATAAAATATCCGTTTGATATTTCTAGCGTTACTCTGAATAATACAAAAATACTAACCATCCCATATTACAAAGGTCTTTGTTATTAGTTTGGACTTAGGACCAATTCTTTTAACAGGACTATTGAACGAATAGTAAGGACAATAACAAATATATAAGAACGTTTTATATATCTAGGAGAGTTAAGGGTTTATTGCTTGTTCTTTTTCGTATTATACAATATGTTACATATAATTATAAATCAACTAAACATACAAATTTAGATATCAAGATGCTGGTCCTTTATATATGAATCATGAGTTGATAGTTTCTTATTTAAGGTTCTGTAACGATTGTCACCGTAGGTACATTTCTCATTAATTAGCTATTTAATGTTTTATGAATGTTTCATTTTGTTACATAGTATTCAACAAACACATGGGATTTATCAACAAACCCTAAGTCCTATAAATCCAAACTAGAACTTTTTCTTGACAACTATCACAAAACCCTAACAATATTTTTCAGCCCTAATCCTTTTTTTCTATATAATCATAATATCAAGGTTGAACTACAACATCTTTGTTGTATTATGAAGTGGTGAAATTCTTTGTATATTCCAGGGAAGCGCAAATAATATTAATAGTTGTTGGAATTTGGAGCCTTCTGCGTCCATGGTAATGATAGACATCATTAAGTTATAGATACTTGTTATGTTTTTGTATTAAATACCTGTACATATTTATTATATAGTGTATTCAGTATACATTCTTTTATTTACTTTAAGTTTTCTTTTAAAGTTTTTCATTTCTTTTCAAATCTTCGAAAGACATATTTGGTGACAATTAAAATGTTTTCCTGATATTATGTACATCCGTACACCACATAATATATAGAAAAACTAATTAAAAATAATTCTTATGAAAATGACAGTAATAAACTCTCATTTTCCAACATGCCCCTTTAATTGGTTTTTCTTATAACTTCCTCCTGTTCACTATAACTTAATGATTTCCATTACCAGCATTCCAGAGGACAGTGATTGGAAGCAACTCTTTGGGTGTTAATTCATGTTGTACAATCATTCTTAATTTATTTATATCTTTATTAGTAGTGGATTTTGTTAATGGATCTGCAGGATTTTCTTTTCCACTGATTTTTCTTAGACTTAAGTCTGAATCTAATATTCTTTCTTTTAATCTTTCAATTCTAAGTCCCAAAAATTTGGTTCTTGCTTTAAAATAATCTTGTTTCAACCAGTCCAATGCTGGTTTGGAATCAGTAATTACACATATTCTTATGTTTTTAAAATCCATCATCTTTTCTAATTTCAATTTTAATAGCAATGCAATTTTCTCAGCCTGATTTATGGCATCTAATTCAGCTTCTGCTGATGATGTACATAAAATTGATGATTTTTTTGAAAATCCATGGAAAAAATTGTTTCCTAACCATATTAATGCACCACATCTTGATTTAAGATCAAATTCAGATGCTAGCGAAGCATCTGAAATCACCGTGATGTTTGATATATTTTCTACTTCTTCTCTTTTAAAAACAGTCTTTGTATCTTGTGTTTTATAAACATATTTTAGTATTTGTTCGGTTAACTCAATTACCTTTTTATGAGGATATAAAACTAATCGAGCCATTTTACTTACTGCACATTCTATATCAATTCTTCCTCTAGACCTAATATAATTTAATTTACCGATTAACTCTTGTAAATATCTTACTTTCTTCTTGTATTCCTCTTTAGTCATAATTAATTTATCTTGTTTTGGATTTATTTTAAACTTATCAATATCTGGAATCATTTCTTCTTTTAATTTATCATTTAATATCATTGGATGTTCCTTTTCTAATCTCTTTATATAGCTAGTCATGCTTAATGCTATCTCCCCTTTTTCATAATCATAATTCAAATCCATTCCCAAAATATCTGTATTAAGCATATTATTTTTCATTCCACCAACTATTTTTATTGAGAATTGTTTTTCCAATGTATTTATAAATTCATCTAATTCTTGATCTGTTCTAGCAGCAATTATACAATCATCAACATATGCTGCTATCATTAAATTACCATCCTTTGAAACGAATAATCCAGGTGAGTAAATATTATCATATAGACCCATACCATTCATAGACTCTTTTAAGGTTTCATTCCATCTTTTAGGGCTTTGTTTTAGTCCATACAATGCCTTTCTTAATGGAGTAACCTTTCTTGCATTTTTTGGATGTTGTATATACAACTCTTCATTTAAGGTTGCATATAAAAATGCATGGTTGATATCTAAAGTCTTTAATTTCATCTTCTTATTGTTAGCAATAATCAATAGAATTCGCAATGAATCAAGACTTAAAATGGATGTTTCAATATCATTATAACTACTGCTTGTTTGTTGATCGCCTCTACAAACAATTCTGGCTTTATAAGTTCCATCTCTCTTAATCGTAAAAATAGAATTTGTTCCTACGATTTTATCCTTTTGTATTTTACTTTTGTCTATGGCAATATTCAAATCAATTACTTTCATATTAACTAGATTTTGTAATTCTTTATTATACGCTTCTATGAATTTAATCTTTTCTTCTAAATTTTGATTCTCAGTTATAGCTTGTTTATAAAATAATGCTCTAATCTTTCTTTCTGGAACACTTTCCCCCCGTGATTCAGGTGTGAATTCTTCCCATTTTTCTGTAGGAGTAATATAACGAATTATCTTTTTCTTCTTAAAAATCTTCTTAGGGTGTAAGTCTTTATTTTTTTTATCAATATTAGTTAAATTAATCTTGGGGATATTATCAAGATTGGTTTCTTCGAAGTTGTTTTCTAATAATCTTTTCTTTAATTCTTTAATTTTAGGTTTCCTTAAGGAAGTAAAGTTTTTTTTTGTCCAGTCTGTAGTATTGGTTGATTTAGTTAAATTATCTTCCTCTTTTGGTAATGTAGATACTAGTGAAACAGATTCTTTAGCATCATAATACTTTTCTTGTTCTTCGTCAATCTTAGCAACACTAATATCATTACTTTCCAGTGCCTTTTCTCTTTCTAGAACTTGTTGTAAACTGTTATTTTCATTGTTCTTTTCCTTTTCCTTTTTGTGTTCAGTTTCTATCTTCCGTTTTATAAAATTTTTAACATTGTCATTAATTTCTTGATGTAATTTATTATTAGTTGATCTCAATGATTTTGATGATTTCTTTAAATTATGTCCTATCTGACCTGTTATGTTTGTATCCATTGTTGTTATTTCTTCATGTTTCAAAATATTTTCTGCGCCTTCATTATTGCTTAATTCTATTTCTGATACTTTCCGTTGTTCAACATTATCTTTTTCTTTTTGTGTGTCTTCTTGTTCTATATTAAGAGTATCAGGTTCCTGTAGTGTTATATTGAGGTCATTCTCTAAGACTAGTTGTTTATCAGTTTCTAATTTCTTTTCTGTTGTATGTGTTTCGTTAAGTTTCTCCAAGGCATATGCTTTACTATGTTTAAATGAGTC